AAACCATCACACTGCCTCCTCCATGCTTCATGGTAGGTGCTATGCATTGAGGTAAGTATCTTTCACCTTTCTCACGCCAGACGTACAGCCTACAAGTTGAACCAAATATTTCAAACTTGGACTCATTCGTCCATAACACCCTTTTCCAATCATCAACAGTCCAGTTTTGTACTTTTAGCAAATTTCAGTCTCTTGACAATACTTGCAGATCTAAGTAACGTTTTTTAATTACTACACGACCAGATATTCCATTCTTGATACTGGAGATCTGGACACTTTTCTATGGTACATAGTCGTTTATCTTATGCTTGAGATCAGTGGCAGTCTTCCTTCTGTCCTGAAGGCTGCATAAACGAAGATACCTAACATCAGTATCGCTGAGTTTAGGTGTTCTGCCTCTTCCTTTTCTATTTTCAAATTTACCTGTCTCGGCCTCACGATCTAGGGTGCACTTGACAATGTGTGGGGAGCATTTCAAGTCTGCAGCAATTTGTCGAAGAGTCCAACAAGCATCACGTAAAGATTTTATGCGAATTTTCTGCTCTACTGACAATTCTCTACGCTTTTTGGGTCGTGGTATGACAACAAAACTTAGCATATATATAGTGTTAAGCACTGTTTCTATCAAGGTTTATTTGTGGAGTGCTATTAAATTGATTTCTTCTAGCATATGCCGGTACCATATGCTAGCTTCTTTCTATATAGTTAAGACACTGAATGGGGTACCATGACAGTTATTTCAGACCCTAAATTTGATCAGTATGTTCATGCAAACAGAACCCTTATGACATGCCCTTGGTGCAAGTATATTTAAAGAATGATAAGTATTCTCATCCTGGCTCATTGAATTGTCAACAGGGATCAGTGAAGCATTACCATGGTGTTGAAATTTACATTATTTAATGGCATGGAAGAATTAGCCCCATAAAATGGAAAGAATGATAAAATATTATCTTGTCCTAACACTTTTACACACTACTGTTTTGGTATCTTCTACCTTTACTATCTCAAAATTTCAACACAATTTTGACGTGAAACAAAGATCAACAAAAAGCTGGTATTTGTTATTCTATAAACTTCTTGATTTTGAGAGAGTCCAAAAATATACATTTTATGGATTATTATGAATTGCGACTAATTGTTATCATCTTATAATAATGGACGTAGCGTGTATATATATGTATATATCTATGCACGTGACCGAAATAATGATACAATGTAGCGCCATCTATTGAATGACACCACAAACACAAATCCATAAAATTTCACGCTTTGGATATTCAAGACTCAAACAATTAGAAAAATAACTACAGTATATGCAAAAACCATTTCTTTAACACACAACACAATTTTAAATAAAATTACTCTCCTGACAACAAAAACACGACTTTCACTAGGACTGTACGTGTGGGTTTGATATAGTCTTTATTGATGTAAATTGTAAATATAGTACTAAAAATGGAGTTCTTAAAGAAAAAAGAGTGTTATTTTTTCAATAAAGGGTACCACTTTTAATATATAAAAACATTATAGTTTATACCGGCACAATCCGAACATTTTTCCCGTGCAGTACTACTCAGAAAAATCCCTTTTTAGAAAATGTTCACTTTTTCTAAATTGTTTTCAATAAGGCATGAATACTACGATTAGTAATTACTAGTACAAACAGTCGCTAGTATCAATAACAAACTGAAATGACCTCTCCCCTGGAGTTTGTACTACACAAATTTTCTTTCATATTTATGCATAAGTTAAAGCCACAGGAAATAACAGAGGAAAAAGTATGAACACTGTCTTACCATGAGGACAAAGACACTGGAATGTGGTATCAACAAGTCCTTCTGTAATATCAACGCAGAAGCCACCATTATTACAAGGGTTTCCATGGCAACCATCTCTTTCTTCACAATAACGACCAATATATCCCGTGCAGCATTGACAAGTGAAACGACTCTGCAAGGAAAACAAAAATCCTCCTTACACTCTTTAGACGTTATTTTCTAGTTATTACTATTAACAAAGTTTAATTTTTCACAAAGATATTTAATCCAAGGGTTGTTAGAATAGTAAACTATGAAACTCGAAAGGTGTTTGATAAATAGCTAAGTCTGGTTTGTCATCTGACTAGTTAACTTTTGTGATTTGTTGTTTAGTTAAAGTTTACGAGAAACAGTGAAACAAGCTAATGATAAGTTGTACCAGTACCTTATGTATGTTACAGAAAGGAAACTAAAACATTGATATTTACACTTCGACACTAGTGACTCTCGCAAACTTAATAATGGTTGTAGTTACACACCAGAACTTCGTACAGATAAACATCCTGCAGGTGGCCCTTCAAGCAATGTCACTTATTGCATTTATATACGTTTAATATAGGTTTACAGCCGCTTGAACACCCTTAAATCACTAAGTTCGTGACTTGTCTGAATCTTACATAAAATTATGCACTAGATTTGTTGATTTAATCCAAATGATTATTTCCTACCAGACACGTAAACTGATTAATTTATTACTAGAAAACAACCAGATAAGGTAATTTATTTTTGAATCTTGTTAAATTCAATATCTTTCCGTTATCTACAAAATTTCCATATAATTGGAAAACAACCTTCCAGTGTAAGATAGATTAACATTATGGTGGAAAGATGCTTTGGGACACTGAGACAGTGTCAATATTCGGGAAGGATCTCTCGCACAAGGTATTTTAGAACACCAGAGCTCTATAGTTGGAGAAATAACCCAAAATATATGAGCATCGCATATATTATCAAACGAAGTTTGTCGCTTAGTCTTATTTCTGTATTATGTTAATATGATGTAATTTTTCACGTAAGAGAAACTTTCACTTCATCAGAAGCACATATATAAATTAGAATTCTAAATGTGAGTGTAAAAGCTACGCTTTGAATATTTTAGAGTCAGTGGTTAGTTAAATACATAGCTTACGTTGCAATAGCTATATAGAGTGAGAAGTAAGCATGCGCTTAGGTAATACATGGAATCGTTCAGTGAAATTAAAGAAAAAGATGTGTATATGAGCTTTAAGAATAGGCTTAAGTTATCTTTGTATACACTCTTTTTACCCTCTCCCGCGGGGGTGAGGAGGGGCGAGGGTATTGTAATTGGGTCCGTGTGTCTACCTGTCTGTGTTTCCATACGCATATCTCGAAAACTAATAAACCGATGTACACGAAAATTTTATACAATATGGGAAGCTAATACGAGACAGTCATTCCTAAATTTGGTTTGGATCCAATTTCTGATTCTGATTCTGGATCACTTTGAAGCATTTTTTATAATGGGGAGATAGAGCATTTTAGCGTTTTGGGGTAAGAACTCTGTATCAAAATTTCTCTGTACCAAATTTCATGGGCACATTAAGTTGAGATTCCTCATCACACTACAAAAATGACCCGGATCATTGATCATTCTGAACCTGAGAAGGATTTTCTGAGTTTTAAAAGGTAAAATTTGACGTTATCCAATATAAACGCATGTAACCCCGAAGAGGAGCGGCGGGACGAGGGTATACAATCTTTCTGATTGCTCTTGTTTATTTTATATAATTCTCACTTTAGTACTGACTACCACTTGATAACGTATAAGTTAATTATCATACTTTTATAAGAGTGCATTTGTGTTGAAATATGGTCGTCGATGATTGTATTTAATCCCCGGATCATGTTGAAATATGGTTGTTGATGATCGTATTTAATACCAGGATCATGTTGAAATATGGTTGTTGAAGATCGTTTTTAATCCCAGGATCATGTTGAAATATGGTTGTTGATGATCGTAATTAATACCAGGATCATGTTGAAATATGGTTGTTGAGGATCGTTTTTAATACCAGGATCGTGTTGAAATGTGGTTGTTGATGATCGTATTTAATACCAGGATCATGTTGAAATGTGGTTGTTAATGATCGTATTTAATACCAGGATCGTATTGAAATGTGGTTGTTGATGATCGTATTTAATACCAGGATCATGTTGAAATGTGATTGTTAATGATCGTATTTAATCCCAGGATTATTGTGTATTTACACCTATACCTTAGAATACTCATAGTACAAAGAACAGATTAGATCATATCTGTGGCTATTACAGTGGTTGAGTACGTTATATTAATAACAGTTGTGACTGAACACCTTATCTTGGTAAACACACACACACCCATTTGGCCTTGTTTCCATACAAAACCGTTATTTCTGGGCAATAAAAATCGTCCAAAACATTGGTCTGATAGTAAGCAAAGTTTAGTTTGACCTTTGTATCTGCTCTTTTGACCCCTAACTTGCCCCTGGCGCCGTATCCAGCGATGATTATGAATCGAAGTTAACCCACGATATACTGTGGACCATTTTTGGAAATTGTTTTCACTTATTGACCAGTAGAAAATGGCACAATACTTGTTACAGTTTTCAAGTTACACACACGTTTCGTCAGTTGTCAACACGTGCTACTATTTTCCTGTGGCTACGTACCTATCGTACGGTTTTCTACATATTTCTTTGTCTTCCAATTTCATTAAATATAAAGGATATCCCCATCTTGGAAATTCTAACTCCCCGACCGGAACACATCTTTATGATCTGAATGTATGGCTTTTTGTTTTTGGGTCGGAAATGGCTGTTACATATTCTTCCCAAAAACGATCAATTTTTCGTAGCATCATACTGCCTACGCAGTGCCAAACAATATCAAAATGTAGTTCTGATACATGTTGTTCTTCCAGACTTTATATCGTCTGTGGTTGTCAGGTGATTTGATGATTTCCATATTCAAAATAATTTCAATACAATATACTCAACTCTCTGTATTCTTGCCGTAAGAAAAACATAATCTTTCAGCACATACAGTTAGGAGTTATTACTGAACTAATTCACAAATTAAAAATGTTACCATGTTCGTGCTAAAAACAAAGCATTGAGGATATTCAACCCTACTGAATATGGATATTAACTAACCAAAAAAGACCAGTTATGACGGCATAATGGTGTTCACTCACTTCTTCATTTTTGGTACTATTAGAGAACTGTCTACAAGTGTAGGCAACTGATATTATTTACTGATATACAAGGTTACCAATATCCTGGGTCCAAGCAACGTTCCCGGAATTTCTTTCCACTTATTGTTGTTGTTGTTGTTGTTTTTTACTTTCGGTGATGTTTACTTCCATTGATTCATAATATGAACTGAATAATAATAACAAAAAATACATATACTCATTCTAGTTAGATTTCTATGATTTGGTTGAGTTTTGGAAAATCAACCAACTAATTGCTTGGCTGTTACATCAAAATGTAGTTTGAAGTCCATACGTATAGTAAAAACAGACTTATAGATAAAAGGAGAAGAGGGACGGCTTGCACTTTTGGACATTTCAGTCGGTACAGTAATAGCCCTTTTAGCCAAAGAATTTGAGTTCAAGTTTCAGTCCTGGAGTTTATTTTCACTTTTCGGTTTTTTCACCTATAATAATGTGTGTTAGAATGATTACTTTCGTTGATTCATAACTTGAAATAGTCAAGGTTAGTTAGAAGGCCATCCAACTACAGATGCTGATAGACTTGTGTAAGTAGGTTATGTGACTCATGTCGTTAGAGGAGAAGTCAGAATAGTTTCGTATGTTGCCACATGATGGTGTTATCACATTACTTCAGATTATTTTCACGTGTTTCTACCTGAAAGAACTATCATGTGACGTCAGAGTATTTCCACTAGAAAGTGCTATCATAAATGTTACATTAGTTATGTAAGTTGTCGCCAGAGTACTCTATCTTATGATATATGACACACAGTAACTGTTCAGTTTTCTTTTTCTTAGAAATATTTTGATCATTAGTGAGGTAATAATGTGTTGAGCATTATTGACTACATCATAATTTTTGCAATTATATTTATAAGTTGATTTAAACAGTATATTATTTATTCATTGGTTGTGTATAAGTTTAATTTTGCTTGTTTGAGCATAAAGGTACACACTGCGCCCTGTCCACCACGAGGAATCGAACCCCGAAGTACTTAGCGTTGACAATCCGTAAACTTAGCGCTGGGACCTGGCAAGGTCTGGTAGTTAGGACGCTAGACTCGCATTCTGCAAGTCGTGGATTCTAATCTCCCTTACTGAACATGTTCGCCCTTTCAGCTGTGGGGGCGTTACAATGTGACGGTAAATCCTACTATTCGTTGGTAAAAGAGTAGCCCAAGAGTTGGCAGTAGGAGGTGCTGACTAGCTGCCTTCCCTCTAGTCTATCATTGTTAAATTAGGGACGGATAGCACAGATAGTCGCCGTGTAGCTTTGGGCGAAATTCTAACCAAACCAAATAAACTAGAACTTAGTGCTTACCCACTGGGTCATGTATTATATAAATGCGGGTGATGACACTATTTCCACCGAACTTTGATTTCGCTTTAACTACAGTAATTCTTTGAACTTTAATTATGAAGATTTGCAGGTTATTTATGACTGTCATGATATAAAACACTGTTTATTGTAGATATTATTGGTTAATTTATTTTGTGAGGGAATATTTTATGATTGTTTAGTTTTGTTTATAATAAGAGAATTAAAAGCAGACGATTGTTGAAAGTTGTGTTTATAATTCATTGATGCTGAGACTATCGAATGTTGCGTGCAATATACTGACTTCGAGAATATAGAGATTTCTAGAAGGCGGGTAGACGATTAAGTGATAAAGATATAAATGGTATGAGACGAACGGAAACAGCAGACAGACAGTAGCAGAAGAGAGTAAAGTCACGGCCAAGGATAAGTTCGGCGTGAAGTTAACTACCGTAGAAGTGATAGGCCTAACGATTAACATAAACCTAATGTTTAGTATGTTAGAGTAAGACTAACAGTAGAAAAGGAGATAAGAATAATAATTTATTCCGTCAAAGTAATTGAATCCGCCTGAGTGCACTTTGACAAAAGGAACAGAGGATATTTTGAAGAAAGAAGACCAAACGATTACTGGAAGAGCAGTATACGACTGCGGTAACTAGCGCCACAATTGTAAGTTAATTATACACAGAATACTAGTGCGATAATAAGAGAGAAAATAGTTCGGCTTGTCAAATGAAATTCTAAAGTAGTTGAATAGGCTTTAGTGGACTTTTGAGAAGAAGAAGAAAACTATATATATAGTGTTTATGATATGCCTATAATCTCTATAGTGTAAAGAATTTGTTGTAGAAATGTTTAACCAATTCGAATATATACATTATTTTGAAAACAAGTGCAGTGCGTGCTGTTCATTTATTGTTGAATTTATCGCCAACAAATTACAGACACCTACTGTAGAAGAATCCTAAACCCAACAACAACAAGAACACAGTATATATTCATACTATTAAGAAGTATAAGTAAAATCTTTAATTGACAATTGGCTAACATAACTTAACGTCTGACAATGACTATATGAACTTTCTTGTTTGACCTTCTAAATTATTGAATTGGTTTATATTGTATTAAATTCATTGGTAACTATCACCAATAAGAATTAATTAAGTAGCGTAATTTTCTGTGTAGTATTTATAGTTTTGGAGTTTCTCATAAATATTGCAAACATAAAAGTGTAAAACCACTTATTTAATTCTCATATTATGTATGGTAGGCGGGCGATTAAATCGTCTGATATTATTGTAAGAGGCACATTTTGCTGTGTAACGAACTCAATAAGCAAAATGACATTGTTTTTCGTTTACAAACACTTCATTGGTGTACAGTATTTGCACGTATTTTAGGAATTGAACATGACTCATGATCCTATGCTTTCTCAAGCTGACTGGAAGTTCATATGGCTAAAAACCTTCAAGTTACCATAATAACTAATTGTAATAAAATGCTTGTAATAGAAGCTTAATTAAATTTTGATATAAATGGTATTTTGTTTGTAATTAAGCACAAAGCTACACAATGGGCAATCTGTG